AAGAGAAAACAAACTTGATTCAATATATAGAGAATTATGCAGGGGTGAGGGAAGGGAAAAAGTTGAAAGAGAAAAAGAAGCGAAGATAAGAAACAGATAATAGTAGCAATGCGGAAGTTGTATACACAATCTATAAGCGCAGTAAGTGTCTTACAATGAATGAGCATGAGCAATTGCTTTCACTGCATGATGTTTTAGGCTCTGATATTAAGTGTGAGCAGAAATCAATAGAATGAGTTTCCTGTTATAAAAGTTAAAGAACAATGTCCATGCTGCTATATATATATATATATATATATAAATAAAAAAAAGCAATAACTGACACGCTAGTTCAGGCTTGTGTCGTGAACTATGTGTTACACATGAGCTCAAAATGCTTAGTCCATTCAAAGAGCTCCAGTTCTGATTTCCTTTCTGCAGCACCATGAATCTACCAATTACAAAATTGTCCGTGAGCAAAGCTTGTAACAACTAAAAAAAATCCAACATAAAGCATTGTCAACAAAAACATTTTTTTTATTCTATAATAAAAAGATCATGCATCTATTGTGACTAAATGTGAAATGAAAATGCTGCGTTTCTCAATCTTCATTACACAAGTAGGAAAGTTTTAGTCAAAGTAACAGCAGGGGAGTTGGTAAGTTTTAGTCAAAGTAACAGCAGGGGAGTTGGTATGTGGAGAAGGTGCGAGTATAATAGCATAGAGGTAGTAATAGATGGGAAAACACTGAATATCCATTATGTTGATGTAATCTAAAATGGATGCAGCAGAAGAAATAAGAGTCTGTATACTTCTGATGTAGAGAAGAAAATGAAACAAGAAGATTAATATTTATGAGTTATTGTACAGCATTAATGAGATTTTATGCTCAGGTTAAATCAGTGAATAGTGGCATCCAACATTCCTAATGCTCAAATTGCAAGCATCTTGCTCACAGTGTCCTGATGCTTATCCAGAATAAATTTTTCCAATTGCCGTCTGTTAAATAAGGTAAAAAAATCAGGGAATCACTGTTAAATGAGGCAAAAAACTACCTGAATGCATCAACAGGGGAATCGCTGGCACATCTGATGTCAAAGGCTCCAGCAATGATATGGCCTCGCTCAGACCAGTACCAGCACATGATATGCCAAACATAAGAACTGGACTTTGATGAACATGTGGATTATATGATTCAGAGAGCAGGGAGACGATTTGAGGAGTCTACATTTTAAGATTAGCAACTCAATTAGATGGATTGTTCAATATGTGCATTTTCATCGATCCCAGTAGAAGGTTAGAAAAAATTAAGAGCCAATACATCATATGAAAAGTTGTTCGGAGAAGTAAAGCCTTGCTGTCAAATTTTTATAGCCTAGAACATAAACCATATGCAAGTGCCAAACCTGAACGTAAGAGAAACTAACCCAGTGCTAAAACTGCAGTGTGCCTAACATTGTCACTCAATTCTGATGCAGCAAAATGCAGCAGCTGTCGAATGGCCTTGTTGTTTGCAGTTCTACTGTAAGCCAATGCAAATGCATACATTTATCCATAACGTAGTATGGGGTCTTGATCCCAAGTTATCTGCTCAATCAGTGTATCAGTTGCTTCTTCTGTTCCATAAACTGTCAAGAGCTATCCCCAATGCCAAATCGTTAGAAATGTCCAACTGACTTGTGATTTCTCTTTTTCAAAAGAGAGAATTCATTAAGCTTTTAATTTTAGAAATAGATTATAGACATTAAGCAGAGATGTCCAAGTAAAGGACATTCTTTAAGGTAGGTAGTATGTTGAATAACTTGTAGGAGACAATTTTTAAAAAAGGCGGAAAAGTGCAAAGATAAAAATAGGTACTTTTTTACATAACACAACAAGGCAAATACCTCAGCATTAGCGCTTGTTAGACTATCACACAGGAACTGATTTATGCCTTCCCTATAGTAGACAATGCTTGTGTTTCTCGTAGTGCTGTTGCACTAAACTTAACCTAATTTGTAGCCCTGGTGAGCCAGTTCTGAGAGTTTAAACAAATACAAAATGTTAGATAGAAATGACTACTTTTATCATTATGCAACATATAAAATGATGAGCAAAGCAGGTGCACAGTAAGGTGTTGACGGTTCTGACAGCACGCATAATGCTATTAGCGTATATAGTTGCATTATGACAAATATTATTTCTCATCTTAACAGATTGCTTTATTGTGTTGAGAATTAGGACATGCAATGTAATATGCAAAAAACCAACAATTAGTCAAATACTTCAAAGAAATCCAGTAAACTGAGAAACTATCTTGGGAAGAGAAGAAAAGAAAATAGGGAAAATGCCTTAGTTATAATAACTATATAAGAATTGCAATGTCATCTGTATGGAAGTCTCTCCAGACAGTATTCCTTTTATTTTTCATAACCTCTCAGCATAAACATCTTCCTTGAGACTGGAAAGTTGGTCCTTCATTTTCAAAAGAAAAGCTTGGTGTTCATTCTGTACAAGGTTAAATGCTATTTGAAATCCCAATAAAGCATCATTATTGCTTTCTGTTCTTAAGAGTTTCTCAAATACAGCTGCAATGTCCTCTGGTCTATCCAAAAACATGAGAAGCTGACATATGCTTAAATAATCAGGTGATGGCAGTTTTTGGAATACTATAACAAGAAGACGTTGTATCTGCATTAAAGTAGTTGAGGGTCAGAATTTCTCAAATTTTGACATCTAATATATTTGGACTAATGTTCTCTAGAATTAGTAATAAGGTTAACAAGAATGAATTAGAATTATGAATAAGGTTAACAAGAATGAATTAGATAGATATAACCACGTCACACTAATATTTTCTAGAGCTGACAAAACTGTGAGAGACATGATTACAATAGTATAGGGTTACTTGAATGTTGTCACTTCTTATAACTGCTTCCTCAATCTTATCCAATCTTTGGTATTTTATGGCTATTCTCACAGCTTATTGATGTTTTCTGTTAGTTATAAACCTACAGGGAGGTTCAAAAATGAGATAATGAGAAAAAGTTTAAATCTATAGTGTAATCTAGCATTTCAGAAGTTTACATACTTATCAAGCATCCTTTTAACAATGGATTTTGATCTTGAATCTATCTTTGCTGCTTTATTTGACTCAGCAGCCTTCGTCTTGAGGTCAGGACATTCGTCTATAGCTTTAGCTGAGACACAAAAGCATATAATAGAAAAATAAGTAAGACGTGCATGCCATGGTTAAAAAGAAATGCATAGTTAAGTTATGTAGTACCAATGCCACTTTATAGTCAAAAATTAGTATTTATCTAACCATGATTTATTTGCTTATAAATGCAATACATACAAATACTGAACAAATTTAGAAGGCAGAATTCAAGAACAACATCCTACCTAGAATACTTCGGACGTAATATGAATCTTCTGATACATCGAATAGAAGGTCAGCTCCAAGGGCATACAACAATGAGTGATTTAGTTCATTCAAATAACAAATGACCTGAGAGGGTAGACAGATTTGTTATAAATAATGAATGCATACAAAAGCAAAAATAACTTATGCTTCCTCTTCTTGAAATGCATTTTACATAACCTGGTAAAATGAATGCTAAAATATTAATCAAGAAGATGAGCACTCTGTAGAAGTAGGCTTTAAAACAAAAACTTCCAACAAAACTATTGTTTAGAAGGATTTCGAGTTTCTTTAATCATAAACTTCAAAGTAAGGTAGATCATTATTTCTATCATCCAATTTATTATATAAAACAGACAAGAAGAGAATTAAAGATACAGGAAAAGCATGTTTGAATCTTTGAGGCCAATAATGCAGCTAGTTGCCTCTGGGTCTCATCAAAGTCCTCATCTTCATATACACTCTCACTGCAAAATGATAAACACTCAGTAATCAATTTTCTGAACATACAAAAAGTTGTGTACATACAACTGCAAGAATGAGTAATAAGGGTAGCATCATGAGACTTCAGCAATAACTAACATTTGCATAAAGCTTGTAATAAGGGCAGAAAAAAGGTATTTTCCCAGCAAAAGCAGTAATCAGTTGTATGAGCTTTAAGAAAAAGATCAAGCAAGAGGTTGGAATGACAAAAATGCCCCCAAGGAGAGCAGATCAAATGTAATCAACGGTAACCTCTGTTCTTTGAACATTTCCTAAGGATATTTGTAAAAGTATAAGCTAGCTCAATAAATGAAGCAATGGTATGAGTTATTGACTCAGAAGGGCTAGTGGCTGAGATGAAAATTGACTCAAGAATTGAAGCAATGGTAGCTGGCACCGAAGATGTAGAGATCGTAATGTTTCAGATGTTTGGATATCTATGGATATCCCTTTTCTGCCATAAATGATTATCTTTATGCCTGTCCCTTATGTTTAAAAGGGTATCAATGTCCAGTACGGGAAAATAAGTATTTTACTACAAGAAGGTTAAGCATGACAAAAAGATATAATAGTCGTTTGTAAAAAAATACATTCAGAAGAATTATATTGTACTTGTTCAAATTAAATTGATTAGCTACTCTACTCTACAAATTAATTAGCTAAAAATTGATTCCTTTTTCTTCTCTGTATTTATCAAGAAAGTGATTTAGAGGTATGGGTGAGCGATTGAAACAGAGGTGGATGGTATTGCAGAGGGGAAATGCATTAAGTAGTAGTAGTATGACTGTAGTTTGTGTTGCTGGCGGTTGGTTGTTGCAATAATTCCACCTATCTCAACGTTAGGTTAGGTGTTTTTTGTTCTATAATGCTGGCTGCTTGGCTCAATCTCAAAATGATCCAATTGCTAGAAAACATTACTTATTATTTTTAGCTTGAAACATTTTTTTTACTAAAATATCTTACATAGAGAAGCAGTTTTGTAAATGAATTTTTTATTTGTTTGGGGTGTGAACAATAAGAAAAATGGCTTCATTATTTTGCAGTAGCAAAAGGTCTAACTTCTGAGGATATTAGCAGAAAGTATCATTGAATTGTACTAATATGTGGCTTGCTAAAGATTTTTTTTATTTTTTATTTTTGAAAGAATTAACTTCAATACAAAAGATGACAAATTTACACAAATGATAGCTCTTAGAAATTAAGATTGAGAGCCTTAGTTATGAGTTGGTTTTCCTTTAGATCCTTGAAACTTTCAATTTTCTACCAGTCTGCCATGCTGGATCTATTTCTTTCTGATAAGGAGGTTAAAGAATGGAAATGAAACATTGGTTTCCATATTTTGTATGATACCAGTCTCTCATGAGGGACTTGTTACGTTTACCAAAAGTCATTCCCAAGGTTACCTAGATTCTGAGCAGTTCCAGAACGAGGAACAATTGGGGATCATAGAATTCTACGCAATCTAAATGCAGAAGGCTGGGCGTAAGGTTCTTTGGGGTACTTAGAAGGGACAAAGTTCAATACTCATGAAATGGTTCTCTAGATCATATCAGAAAAATCGCTTTTTATGCAATTTTCTAGATAAACTATTCAAACATCAACATTTAGATAAATAATTATGTGAAATTGTCTGATAAGACACTAAAAAAAAAGAGCAGGTATTCTAGGAGCATAACTTGACTCCAACTTTCGACCTCCAAAAGTGGAATTCCAAATCGTCAATAATACTTATTAGAATTGCACTTATCGAATTCAAAGTTCATCAGGACTCAAGCAATTAATGGTAACACAGTAGTAAAACCTAGATGTGATTCCTACATTTCTTTTATTCCATTTCTATTTATTTTTAAGTCGGATTTGGTCTTCAAACTCATTAAGAAAAACTGCATCATTTTTTATATCATGGCTATCATAAAAGAAGGTAAAACAAAACTTAAACAAATAGATTTGGACTTGTCTCAACTTTTGAGACAACATAATGATTTGGAGCAAGGAAACATATTAGTTATTGATTATGTGCTTAAGTTTCTTGAGCTGTTTGTTCAACATTCAGTTGTTGCAAGTCCTCAAAAAACAATTAATACATAAAAGCTGGTCTGTAGTATGAAATTATAAAGCAGTTGCAGGAAAAGAAGTTTATATCAACTAAAGGATGCTTTTTGAGCAAAGCTGTCAAGGTAAATCAGTACTTGAGTCATGGGAGGTTGGAAATGAAGAAATTCAAGTGATAAAAAGAGCACTTAATGGACTCAGCTGAAGCTTTCCTATATTCTGAACTTGCAGAGACATAAAACATGAAACTTTCCCATGAGAGAAATTATACAAGTGCAAAAGACCATATAAAATGAAAGCTATATCCTCTCACCTCCTTGATTGGTCCAGAAAGGAGAGCTAAAGTTTCGGAATCTTCCTTGGTCTCCATCAATAGAGCTGCAAGCTTTGCCTCAGTGCGCTAACGAAGGAAAGTTCACTTCTCATCACGCGTCTATTGCACAATTTCCTAGCATAGGGCAATCTGAACATCAGATGTGGCAGGTATTTTGGCCACCGTATCAAGAATTCCACAGATAATTTTTGCAGCTTTTGCTTTGGGGATCAAGGAAAAGAAGGGCCGAAGTTGGATCAAAAGGTTCTTAAGTTCCTTTGTCTTATTTTGTAGAGAAGGATGTCCAACTTACCGGACAAAAGATGTATGAAGACGCTTACAATTTTGTCGAAAGAATTAAAGGCTAAGCTGCATCTCCACACAATCAGTGCCCAAGCCAGTGGACCCTGCAGTTATGTGAGGAGTCAAGACATAAAGAAGCAAATCTTAATGCTATTTAGATGAAAACAAGGCATCTCCAGATTGATTGCTTACCTCTGCAAAAGAAAAGCAAATCATGAAAAACTTCTCATTTCTAGGAAAACAAAGAAGCATGACCAAGAATAGTGTGTTGGCGTAGTAGCAGAAGTCCTGAATGGCAAAAGAAGTACATAGTGACACAAGAGAAAGTACATTTTGTAGGAGATGAAGTCTACACTGAAACAGAAAAATTCACAGATAACATGTACCATCAGAATTCCAACTAAACATAAAGTGATTTTGTCTAATTAGGACTCTAGAACCTCTTCGACAAAACATCTAAATAACCGAGATACGCAAAACAAAAAATATTCGTATAGTTAAATGGGCCAAAACAAGAAGTTGCAAAACAGGAAGAGCTTACCAAGAGATAATAATGCCATTTCTTGTATCGATAATAAATCCACCGTAGAGGAACAAATATGACAGAGAGCAAACAATATGCATAAGGGACACCTTGAGGCCCTGCGCCACAATAGAAAAGAACCGCAAAAGCAAATTAGCAAATGACAATCCACAAGGCCTAACTAATTATTCGAGGGATAAAGATAACTGAATTATCAAATCTTAAGAATGTAATACTCACTGGCACCCAACAGAAAGCAGAATGTTCCAAACCCAAGAACACTCAACAAATAAGTCACCTATCAACCCACAAAGCTCCCAATCAGTGCAACCTAAAATCGACATCCCAGGTCACCAAACCATAAGCAAACATGCTAGTAAAAGTAAATAAACTATGAATCCCGGAAACAAATATGAGCTACAAAGTTGTTCTTTTAATAGCCACTGAGACCATCTGACAAACAAATGGTGGGTTTTGGTCGGTCGGTTACTTGATTACCTTGTTGATGAATCTTTCGTGCTCTTCAGCCCGTTTGGCAATCTTGTCTGCATGTTTAGACAAGATCTGTTTGCTTTGACCTGCTTGCTTCGACAACATCTCTTTCGTTTTAGCCACTTTCTGCGCAACAAACAATTCCTAGATGACATAGAACTACCCAAATCGCATCACAAACTGCAAAACTAAATCAGATACGTGGGAAAAATTAATACCTCCTCTGATCGATCTCTGAGCCTTTTCATTTGATTCGCCATTGGAGTCCTCCGGAGAAGAAGAGTCTCCGTTGCTATACATTTTCTTGCTCAAAGACTCTCCTGTGTTTTCCCGCAAGTAAATGAAAAGAAGAAAAAGGTGGTGGTGGTTTTCTGTGCTCCTCTCCTTCGCCTGTTATTTTTGTGGGTTTGAGTGACGTATATATAAAACTGGATAGTACTAAAAAAATGGCCTGCTCCTTTATTGTTAGGGCCTCTGGAGAAGATGAAGGAAGATGAAGGATTGGCAAATATCTGGTAATAGATAGAAATGGCCTCAAAAGGGCTAGTGGCTTCAGAAGCTTGTGTTAAGTGAAGCAGCGGTAGCTGGCCGGGAAAACATAAAAGCAGATATGGAGTCAAATGAAAAACAATTTCCATAACAAAAGTAGAAGGCTACCGTGAAAACACAGAGAAAAGGGGATGAAATGCAATGATTAAGTAAATTTCAGACTTTTAAGCACTTGCAGAAGATGTTGTACATTGGAACTTTGTTTTTTTTTTTTTTAGCTGTACATTGGAGCCTCTAAAGCTTTTATATGTAAATAATAAATAATAATAACAACAACAACACAACTTGACCCACACGGCTAGAGCCTAAAAAAATAAAAAATAAGTGGTTAAAAATAAGTAAAATAAGAACATGAAATGTCTATTCATCTTCAAGAGGGAGAGAGAGGGAGAGGAGGAGGGAAAAAAAATTAAAGTGATTAAATACACGGATAGAGAATAAGAGTTGACTTTCCTCAACCATTCATGGACTCAAAAATATCAAATTGAAAATGGATTTGCGTATACTCCCCCGTCCCACTTTGATAGTCCTGTTTTTTTTTTCACACAATTTAAGAAAAAATAGTTAACTTTATTGGAAAAGTAAATTTAGATTGCTATTTTCCTAAAATACCCTCACATTAAATAGAGTACAACTTTATAGGAACTTGAATTGATAGTAAAAAAAAAATCAACTCTCATTAAATGGAGTAAATTTATAGTTACAACAACTTACATTGAATAAGGATATTTTAAAAAAATTAAAATACAACTACATTCTTGAATTGAAAAGTGAACTACAATTTGGAACAGACGAAAAAGGAAAACAAGACTATTAAAGTGGAACGGAGGGAGTAATTTTCAAGGAAAAAGACAACATTCACAAATCTCAATTAGTGTACTTATAGCATAAGCCTCAAGGAGTGTATTATTATAACTGAAATCTCAATTGGTAGACTTATAGCGTAAACCATAATGACCGTAATCTATTTCAGATAAACTACAAAAGATTGTTCATACATGAACCGCTCATACTTGATTGCTTATTAAGGCCTTTATTTTTTTTTTGGTCTGTGCATGTTGGACCGATTGACAAGGGTTTGCAACTAGTCAAAAAGAAGATGAACGGACGAGTTTTAAGATTCTCACTGGCTTCATCAGTACTTATTTGAAGCACATCAGTGAATCTCACGTCAGCTTGATGCAGTCAATAATCTGCTTCTGTCATGCTCTTGGTAACTAGAGGCCAATGACAATATTCAATCAAACACCATAGCCAGGCAACTTCATTGAATGAAATTGGCAGCCCCAAGCATTTATGCTAAAAATTGGCACACTAGCTCTGATTTTATTTGTGGAAACAATGCATTGAAGCCTTCAAAAAACCCGTCAAATCTTTGTAATAACAAGCCGAAAAGGAAACACACATCTGCATCCGCTTCTCTATTTGCAATGAAGTAAATACGCATCCCATCCTTGAAGCCTGTATTCCCGAGCTACCTCAGCAGGGTTAGCAGCCTTTATAATTCCACGCCCAACAATTATTATGTCACTGCCTCTTTCAGAAATGACCTAAAAATACATGCTTATGTCAGATCATACGAGGGTTGTTATTACATAAGCATGTAAAATTTCCCTACGCTATCTAATTAGGAAATTCCTTAAAGAAAAAACATACAAATCCAGTCAGCGATCAAAAAAATCATAACCCTAAGTATTCTCTGCAGTCTATGCATGTGAGCAGTGTAAAACTAGCCAGCACATTGCACTGGTTCTCAACTTTTGCAGTTGGTTTCGCAGGGCACACAGACTAAAATGGTACACCCTCATTAAGTATGATTTCTGTGTTAATCAATTTTTACTTTTACAATGCCAAATTTGAGCCCACCCCAAAAATACTTCAAAATTTTAAACTGGACTCAACTGGAGAAAAACCTTGAAATTTGCCTAATCAAACGGATGAAATTGACTAGAGCTTGACCCCATGAACATTTGTTCAAACCCAATTCAAATAATAATCAAGCTACAGCCTACACCCAAATACGATTCAAAGTTGTGAAAAGCACCAAATTAAGCTTAAAGGTTGTAATTTTTATCACCATTATCCAAATAACGTGAAATTTCTTGTTACACATTGTAAAACTAGCCAGCACATTGCACTTGATCTCGATTTTTGCAGTTTTTTTTTTTTTTTTTGCAGGACAACGCAAGATTAAAATGGTAAACTCTCGTTAAGTATGATTTCTGTGTTAATCAATTTTTGCATTTACAATGCTCAATTTCAGCTCACAGCCCAAAAAGTTTTTGCCAACCTTGTGCCTAATGCACGAAAAGATGTCCAGAACTTCTAAAAACTAAATCCAACTAGGCCTCTTACCAATAGCAAAATTTGCACCAAAAGGAAGTAATCCCCTTAATCTTTTAGCTAGTGCATGGAACTACAAGGAAGACCTGATAAAAGAAAATTGAACTTACAGAAAATGGGGTGTTATATTGCTGGCCCAAAGCATCTCCACCTTTCGCCAATTGAACTCCAGGGGTTGCATGAATTAAGGCTGGATTTCCTGGTCCACTAGGCCATGATGCAGGATTAACAGAAATGAATCCAATAACAAAATCTGAATGGCCCTCAGCAATTTTGACAGCAGCAGCTGTGTAATCTCCTTTAGCGAAATTACCAGATGAACTCATTTCTGCTAGTAGCAACAAGCCCCTACCACGAGGCAAACCCTAATTACAGCATTCCAATCAAATGTAAGTATCTCTAGAAGCTCACCACCGAAAAAAAAATAAACATTAAGTACATATCCAAACCTTCAATTTCAACCCATCAACAATTCCCGGACCTGAAACAATGTGAGCGTTGACTATATCTGCCCAATCCAATATTTTAAAGATTCCCCTGCAGAAAATACAAGCAAATTTTTTGACACTTGATTGTAAATATCAAAGGATAAATGAACATATATTGCAGGGAGCTGTGGTCTCACCCTTCATATTGCATTGTCACAGTATTACCAATGTCAGCAAATTTACGATCTTCAAATATTAAGAAGTTGTGTTTTTCTGCAATCTTCAGAAATATTTCATGATCAGCTTTCATCCAGGAAACTCAGCTAATAAAAACCTCAATACACTGCAGAATCGTGTTATCAAAACATGTGATAGATTCTCATTGTTCTGCTTGTTTCCCAAAGACAAAAGCATGATGCAGGGTATTATAAAAAGCAAGAAACCAGTAAAATTAGGGTTGTTCAAATGGAAAGAGCAAATTTAAGTTCAAAATCAGTCAACTGGGAGACAAGACAGAAACATATGCAATCAGATTCAAGAAACTTATCCTGTGTTTCACAATTTTACCAAATATTGAACTGGCTAAAATTTCACTTTTAAGTACCTCAAGCCAACCATGAAGCAGATAAAATGGGAAGAATTGTCAAAGTATAAATAATTTCTAAGTGAAGGATGCATTGTGAATAGAAGCACTATTAGGCAAAGCTATTTTAATAGCATAACAGCCTATAGATAGCTTTACTGCCTCCGTAAGAATAATCTAACACAACTGATTAAAGTGCTGATCTGTGAAAACTGTGGCAGTAGATAATTGAGATTTTTTATTCAACATTGGAATTGCAAGAAAACCCTCAAGTCTCAACTAGACAAGCATATTAATCTATGCAAGCTGAGAGTTCAATTGACAAGACATTAGTTAGCATTCTACACTATTTTTGATGGGAAAAAAATCTAAATTGCCACTGAAATGAATGGATACTTAGCATAATCCAGAAGAAATAGAATCAAATTACCAATCTCAGTCCATGAGCATTTCATTAAACAGACATTCTGCTACCATGTCTTATTGCTACAGGCGCCAAAGGTTGTTACCCAATTGGCATCTTTCAAACAAGGGGTAGGAAAAGTTATGCGTATCTAACTACCTAACTGGTTTTCTCTACATACATATCTTGATACTCAAAACCACTCTGTTCATCAGGCCAAGTGAACAGTACATACGCTATTGATGGCCTTTTAATAATTATCCCAAGCAAGAAAAATTATGAAGTGCATTCCTTAACAAAACAAAAGAAATAGAGGCAATACATTAGCAAGTTTTAGGAAATCTACAAGGATGAAGTCAAATAAACAGAAATCATTAAGCCTGGTTATATCATCTTAATATGTCTAAAATCTAAAGAATAACACCACTATTCACAAATATGAGCAAAGCACTGCCAGACTTTTTCTTTTTCCTTTTTCAAGTTTGTAAAGGGGTGGGGGCTTGCTTAAATGTGTCACAATATAAATGCAAAGGAAATCAATTCTCCAAGCCTTCCTCCCAAGTACCTAAAAGTTAGAACACAACAGCAAGACAGCAAATGTCCATTGTTTTGGCCAACACCTTTATTTGCATTCAAGTTGATCCTATAAAAAGCTGAAAGACCGAAATTTACCGAGCGAAGTTTAGAGCCAAAATCAGGGGTGAAATCAGGCAAGATATCCACATGGGTTTTCAGCATGCAGATTTCAGGTCCAACCTGCAAGAATATCCATAGGCATACAAGCAAAATAAGTTTTTCAGCACTGGTCATCCTCCATATGTTGTTCTCTTCTACTTACTAGTAACATGTTTTCTTTATTCAGGACAAAACCAGTGCAGTTGATTGAGAAATAAAGGAAATAATCTACCATAAAGCACAAACAAACGAAATATTTTGTTCAACATGATATAAACAAGTACCATATGGTAAGTACCAATACCATATGGCACTAATATACTTCTATTGGGCATATATGTACACCGCAATTGACGTCTGACTAGGATAGCTATTCTAACAGAGGTTTTGTCCAAGTCTCATCAACAAATGCAGCTATCATCTCTTCTCCTTAATCCCACCCACAACTTCACAGTGAAAAGGAATTTAACAGCAGTGCCTCCATCACGAATGTAGTATATAAGTGTATTTATGCTTTTAATGCTGGTCATAAGCAGAGAAAGAATAGTGAGGCAGCCTTGGAGGAGTGAAGCTGTTCAAGAATGGAGGAAGAGGGTTCAATTATCAAACTCTGGAAAGTAAGAAGGCTTTCTCTGTGTGCGTGTGCATGAGAGAGAGAGAGCCTCCAGTTCACACTTTGGGTAAGACTTCTTTAATTCGCTAGAAAGTAAAATGTTCAATCTTCTGTAATTTTCAT